AAGCAATGTCTCAAATTTCTTTGATTTACTCCCCCATCACTTCAAGGAATTCAGTTATGATGATAAATTAGGATTGGAGAATATAGATTAGAGTTCATTGAAAAGATCTTATATGTCTGATATGAGCTTATATGTAGGATTCATATGTCTTCCTATGAAATAGTAAGCAATCTTTATTATTTAACAATAATAAAGAGATTTGCGTAAAAAATTCATTGGAGAAAAGAGTAGACATATAATCTTAGAGAAATAAATATGCAACTGGCGTGCTTGGAACCCTAGTGAATAAAAATGATGCGCTGTCATCATCATTCGTTTATTCAATGATTAAGTAACAGTAATTCGGATAATTCGTTAATCTTAAATTTATGTAGGCTCAGTTGTTTAAAAAACAATCAATTTTTCCATCAATAATAATAGCGCTTAAGATTACAAAATCTTAGCGTTCATTTTAGTGGTAAATAATAAAATATATATACTCTGAATCGTTGGAAAATAAATAAATTGAAACTATTTAATAATTAATTGTTAGCACCTGCAGATAAAATGGGTATGTTCCGAAAGTTGTCTCAAAGCACCCAGCTTCGTAAACTTATCAACTTTGTAAAAACCAATAATCCGCGTATTGAAAGAAGTTTTTCTCCTTCTTTCAATGAAGAAGATATAACAACTTGTCCAGTGTCTATCTACACATTTAGAGATATCTAGACAAAAATCTACTAATGCCTAACAACTTAGCACGATTTTTACATAAAACAGTGGACTTAAAGACCTCAAAGCGAATAAATTATCCAATTAAATAATTATCTTTTTAAATGATTGATGAGTTTCTTTCTGGATTGTGAAATATCACTATATATACCGTCACTGATCGCTCATCTTTGATCAATACAAATATAGATAAATTGTATACATCATAAGATTCCTTTTTGGAACGATACTACCTATTCGGATGCTTCCATGAATTATTATAGGTACTAAATATGTTTTTGTTTGAAATTTAATGTCTTGTTTGAAATTTATTTTCTTTTAAAAATACATTTGTTTTTTTGTTATTAAAAATTTTCACAAATTTAATTTATATGTATTTATTTGTCAAATATTCACGCATTGCATTCACCGTATGACTGGACGACGTGATTATGAATTAAAAGTTATGGTATGTTCTAATAATGAGAAATATAATAATCTTAATCTTGTGGTATTTACCTAATATTAGAAAGAGTATTAATAAATAATACCCAAATTAAATATAAGTTGGTCTTGCCTAGGCCTGTGGCTAGAAATTGACTCCAAGTGAGTTTTTATAATAAATAATACCCAAATTAAATATAAATTGCTTTTGCCTAGGCCTGTGGCTAGACTTGAGCTTTAATAATGCATTAATAATGAATATACATATGTATTAATAAAGTTAACCGATTTTTTAGCTTGAGGAATTGAACTTTCTACTCTACACACACTGGTTTAAGGCTTGATCCTACCTATTACTTTTTTAAACCTAAGGCCATTATTAAAAACTGATCATTACAAACTCTTAATAAGGATATGGGTTAAATATTTGTTTAGTTTTATGATAGTTAATCAAATGAGTTTTTTAATTAACTTTGAAAGTTCTTTATTTACTTTATCAAACTTAAGATTTCATATCTAGAAATATTATTATATAAAATTTTTGTAGAAATTTTATACTATTATTTAAATAGTATAAAAAAATATTATTGATACCCAAAAATCGATATAATAGTCTTATATAAAATAAACTTGTACACATCCTCAAAATATGAGTATAGACGAATATAAAACTTAAGTCGCATATAGTTCTAAAATATTTAATTTCATTGTAAATAAATTATTTTGCTTATTTTATTTTTTTATTTTTTTAACCTTTAAAATTCTTCTGCTTCATAACAAAACAAAAAAGTTTTAAGTACTTTTCTACAAACAAATCATAACAAATAAAATTATAAACAAAAATACTTTTAATGAGGACATGCAATAAATGATAACCAAATAAACAATTTCTGAAGAATTGCACAAATTTTTATACATAACTTTTCGATTCATAATAAAAACAAAAAAAAAAACAAAAAAAATAAAAATATCAGATTACATTATGTTAGTTAAAAAACGCTGAAGAGAGAAGCGTTTTCAAACTAAACCAAGTCAACATACCGCAGTCCGTCACGTTCAATGACATGGACGCGCACTCACCAAAGGCATGACCACAGCCAGTCCGCAAAGTGCATAGGAAGCACTTTTGGATTGTGAAACAAAAGGTTTAAAGCAATTTTAAAGCCGTCAAAAATAACATTAAAATATGTTTTCATAAACCGTGAGATACACATTTACTACTTTAGGTTATTGTTAGATTCAAAAATTCTACAAAATGATGAGATACTCATACGTAATTTGTCCTAAAAAGTGTTTGACCTAATTTTTAATTTTTTTATGGCTTTGAAGTGAGTATAGTGAGTAAGTGAGTTCAAAATGTGAACTTTATTGCGATAAATCATCATTTAGTATTTATTTTAAAAGTTTACTAATTTTAAATAATATGTTTTAGTATTTTTCTACTTAAAGCCTTAGCAGTTAGTGAAAGGTCTGTACGTAGAAAGTTCAGTTTTGTCAAATAAATATTGGAATCGTACGTACTAACAATGAAAGCAACAATGAGATACACATAAAGATGTCATTAGTAGGTGCTCGTTCATCCATAAATATGTACATAAAAATTAACATAAATGTATCTTAAACAAAAGGAAAAACTTTAAGCAAATATTATAATATACATATATATATATATATTATACGATATATTATTTTATTAACAGTATCCACAGCAATCATTAGAATTTTAACTAAATAATGTACCGAAATAGTCAACAGTACAATTATAGAATAAAAATCCTCTAATACATACACTAATATTTTCATTATTTTTTTCTTTCTCGAAAATTGATTTTTGAGTTCCGCTGTAGATATTTTATAATACACTTCAAAGGGCTTCTGATGAAAATCCTTATCATCTATAATATTAATCTCTTTATACATACATGTTATAAAGCATTTAAAAGATTTATTAGAAGAGCTGTCTTCTCATTTCACATCTAACTTTACCAGATCACCCAGCTCAAAATCTGATTCATTCGCACAGTCAAGAAACATTTGTTGAGCTTCATTTTGAGCTGCAGTCTTCAAAATATTATACACTAAAAATTGTTTAATTTAGATTTATTAAATTTAATTCATAATTACCAATTGAAATAATAATGCATCTAAGAAGAAATAAAAAATATATATTATACCAGAAAACATTTTAGACTTCAAATAACATTACCTATTTGGCATTAACTGACAACTTAAAAAGTTGATCATATAAATATTTTAACTTGACTTGCCCGCTGAAACATTCATTTTAATTGAATATTAAATTTGTTTTTTAATAATTATTTATTTGTATTAATTGAAATTATTAATTGCTTAAATATTAAAAACAAAAATAATCATTTAGTGATATAAATTCCACATCCGATAAGACTGCTTCCATAAAAATTCTTAGCACAGTGACATCTATGAGTGAGTGGTAGCCGATGAAAGCTCACAAAATATCCACTTACTATCAAGTGATATAGATTTTGTCCCAAATCTGATGAGACTTAGTGGTGTCTGTGATTAAAATCCGATTTTACGCGGAAAGAATGATTGTATTTATTTACTTACATTTGGCATGGAGTTGAGTTTTCACACCGTGGCTTGTGACCCAAAGATAAGAGGAGGTTCGATGGATCTAGCTTCTTACCAACGAGGAAGTTATGCCAAACACATGACTTCAATTGATGCCAGCCAAATTCCTTGGAATTCCAACGCGGTGTCTATCGGCGCATTATCTTAATAGGTGTGTTTAGAACACTATGGTGTTGAGCCAACAAAGTAAATAATCACGTAAATGAAAATATAAGTCGTCGACACAGTAGACGACCTTAACAAAATAAGTGTAGTTAGAGATCCATAGTATTAAACTGAGAAAAATTAAATGCACTGGTTTAAAAAGAAATGATTCATAAAGTTCAAATGGCTTAAGGAAATACAAAAAGATCAATTGCCGCTATTAAAATTATTTAGTGCTAAAAGGATATGCTAGAGTGTTGTTGTTTATTTTTTAATTTAGTCCAATAAATAAAAAAAATATTTAAGGCAGTTAGCAAGGTGAAGTAACATTTCTGAATTTACTGAGCACTCGATGAGCCTAAACAAATCACTACAAACTTTCAACGAATATCGCTAGATATTACATAGAGTCTACGTACTTCCTTGACCAAGTAGTTTCATGAAGTCTGTAGAGATTAGTCAAAAGAATTGCAAAAGAAATTGAATGTTAGATAAACCACAAATTTTATAAACCTGTGAACTAGAATATTGATCAAATACTAAAAACGATTAGCTGTGAAATAAATATAGAATAAAATGGTAATCAAGCACATACTAGACTATATTTGTTAGAAATGATTATAAGAGAATCAAATTTCGAAGTAGAAGGTAGAAGCTCATTTAATATATATCTCCTACAAATGCTTGCTTTTTAAGAATATAATAGTTCCCAAAATGGCGCAATATTTTTGATGTCCATTCATAGGGGCAAAACCTAACTTTTTAGTTTTTATTGCTTTCAAGAATAAGTTCAAAATGTGAACTTGATTGCGATAAATCACCATTTAGTATTTATTTTAAAAGTTCACTTATTTAAAGTGAAATATTTTAAACATTTCTCTTTGAAGATGTGACAGTTAGTGAAAGGTCTGGTGATTGAAATTTCAATTTGTCAGTGATTATTGAAAGAGATGTATGGCTTAAATGCTGCTCATAAATTACAAGAAAATATTTATCACTAAAATATGTGTCCATAAAAATATTTGGTGTCATGTGTTATAAAAATTAAAATATAAAACTGTCAACTAGTAATTTTTATTATTTTAATTATAACATTTAGAACAATCCTTCTAGCCAATAAGTAAACTGGTATAATTGGCAACGCAAGTATAGAAAATAAATCCTTTTTCACAGTCATTTATTTCTTCCTCGCTTTCTGTTTTTTCTGCAATCTTCTCTTTAGTTTTTGCTAGGCAAATGGAATAAATTGGGCGTACAGTTTCCGGTTTGGCTAATTTGTTAACCATTACAAATTGTTCCTCATGGAAGCCTGCTTCATCCATTATCTTTGCTTTTTTATAGATGCAGGTTACAAAGCATTTAAAGGAATTATCAGCATCAATATACCGATTTGCAGTTATCAACGGAAACTCGGTCAGCTCGAAATCTGATTCATTCGCACAATCCAACAAGGTTTGGGTAGCTTCGTTTTTACCTGCAATCTACAAAAGACGATTATACAATGATTTGATTTCGATTGAATTTAATTATATTGTTTTATATTACCGGCTTAAAAATTAGTACAAAAGCGAAAAGACAGCTCAAATATACGATTCCAGAAAACATGTCGAGGCTTCAAAAAGTTTTTATTGACTGCCGAGTTTATTAAAAGGTAGGTACATATATATGTTTTGACTTACTGGAGCAGAAATTAAAATTAAATCACTTAAATTTTAATGTGAGCAGTTATTCATTATTTTCACTGAAAATATTTGCTATTTTAATATACAAATTAAATTAATGTTTTTAATTGCTATTATAAAAAATGCTTGGGGATAATTTGGTTTCGCTTTGCCAATGCATTATACACTTCCCACATATAATTTAACTATTTAATACCCTTAGAAATATTAAATTATTCTTAATTAAATTCGAATATAAGCAATTCCATGCTGAAAAAATAATTATCTTATTTTCGACTCCACCAAGGAAGCTTTCTTGTTTTGTAAACAAAATATTGCCTACACAACTCCAACCAAATTCAGTGTCAGCATCCCACATAGAGCACGTGGGCTTTTAATACAAATAAAATCCAGAATTTCACTAGCACTCGTTTCTGTTCTCCTGTAAAGCAAACATGAACTTGAACGGAAGTCAGTACAAATGGAAAGCTTATATAAGCAAATATCAAAACAAACCGTTAAGTAGTAACAAAATGGCGTCGTTTAGGTGCAGCTAAGCATCAAAATCAACCACATAGCAAAAGCCAGCTAACGCCAACGCATGTCATTGCCTTCCTGAATACGTAAAAAGTCAGGGGAAGCTAGGCGTAAGCGTATATTGAAGCATGTACTAAAACAAAAACAACGCTCCAGCACACGAAAAATAAGCTTGAAACCAGATGACGCAGCAGGAAACGGAAGCAAAGTTAACCTTGAAGTTGGCCTCAGCTGCAGAGGGTAAAGCACAATAACACCGAGAAATGAAGGAAAATGGCAATGCCAATAAACTTAAGAAATCTTAAACTTAATAACAGTAGTAAAATAACAAAAACAATGTAAACCAAAACTTCTACATCCTCTCCTCGAAACAATTTTTACTTCAACGGCACGTGTTGGAAATGAGTTTTTATATGTCCTTTCTTCGTATCCTTACTTCATTGTAGTAGATTTTTTCTTGGTTATGTTCTTGTGTTGAGAAAGTTTCCTGCAACATACAACTGAGATAGCAAAATGTTTGAATTATGCTAACATATATATTTCTTTGTTATTATGTATTCACATAAATCTATATGTATTACTGCTTAATACAAAGAAATTTTCCCAAAATTATATGATTGGGGTAGGTATTTTATTTGTCATCCTCATTATGCTAAGAGATGGTTTTATGTATTTGGATGTGACAATAACATTCCTGGGAAGTTCAGGGTGAAAATATGACATTGAATAATTATTTATTATTCAGTGATGAGAAATAAAATAATAATGAAAGTTAGGGTTTACTTAAATTAAAATACCCTATAATCACAAAGATTTTCTGAGATTAAAATGACATTTGCATGAAATGTTTAAATGAAATATTCTTTATGTGACAGATAACTGAGCCTCAGCTGCTGGTTACCGTATATATTCATTTTAGGTTCATACAATATGCAAAATATGTGCTTAAAATATTTTTTAAACATAGATTTTTAAAGTTTTTTTACAATTATAAATTTCTCTTATTAATTCACAAATTTAAAAATGCTTATACTCTTATAATAATATGGAATATGTAGATATTTCAGTATTTTTAACACATTATGTAAATGACCGATTGCGATTTAAATAAAAATGTTATTAAAGTATTTTTTTAAAGTTCTTACTAGTCTTAAAACCGTTTTCTTTAATTAAACACAAGAGCAGAATATTTTAAATTAATAGATAGAATTTTGTATGCAATAAAGTGCTGTGCAAAAGCTTAAGACCAACTCAATACACCAATTTCGAATGGTAATATCACAATGTATGGGAACGTTTCGATTAAACAATTTTTTTAAATCGAAACAATGCAATACGAAAGATTCTCATAAAGAGTCATTAGATCAGATTAAATTTTTAAAGGGTTGGGAACTTGTCACCACGTCACTGATTATCCTTTGATTATTGTGACAAATTCACCTTACTTTCATAGACGAGTAGCAGTTAAAAATGCCATTATGTCCTTTGGAGAGATGTTGCCTAATTCCATTATTAGTAGATAGGCTGTTGATAAGTTCCGAAGTCTGAGTCTGGCGAGAGTATCATAGTGACACAGAATGTATTCTACTCTTTGCCCTTCTTCGTAACAAAGTCTGCAGCTATCGTTTTTTGTAATACCTAGATTCGATAAATGTTTTTTACTCCGCAATAACATGAATTCTTTAGCTTGTCTGCAGGCAATTGTATTATGCCAATAAAGAGTCATAGACTCTCCCGCTTTATTAGTAGAATAAATGGACTGACTAAGAAGACAAAGTATTATTGTTTTAATATATATAGGAAAATATGAAATCTATCTTGTACTATGGCTGTGAAACATAGAAGCACTTCAGATATATAGAGAGAAAGATGCAAGTGTTTATCAACAAGTGTCTACGTAGAGTTCTCAAAATATGGTGGGCAGATCGAATATCAAATGAACGCCTGCTGACCCAAACAACTCAAAAAGCAGCATAAAATGAGATAAAAATGATTAAGTGGAAGTGGTTAGGCCATACGCTTAGACAACAGAGAGATTACATAGCGAGGTAAACTTGGGGATGAAAGGTCGAAAGTGAACTAGTTGAAGTATGATATACGACATCTAAAGAGAAGCACCAAACAGAGTCAGATTTAGAAGAATTACTGAGGCCCTATGGAGAAGTGGACAATGGTAGTAATAATAATATACTTCATCTGGTTTAGTCGACAAAACTAATACTCTATAGATTACTCACACTATCTGTATTTTTATATAGCACAGAGATATTGACACTATAGCACATACTATCGTCACGAGAAAAGTCACTTTTAAAGTCTACAGTTATCACAAATAAGTGACAACTAAAATATTCGAATTAATCACAATCTATATTGGTTTAATCACGACATTGGTACTGCATTTCTGGGTTAATCATATCGTGAAGATGGAAGACAGTAGACTAATCAGATTGAAGGTTTATTAACAGCACTTTATGTATAAGGCTTGAGTAAAATGGCAGAAAACGGAAGTATCTCGAAAGAAATGCTAAGTCATGCCTGGTTAAAAAGACTACATAAATATCCAAATAAATATGTAAGTGTCACATTGTTTAATATATATTCGGTATTTTACACAGAGTAGCATCATCTGACGATATATGTTATTTCCATTTTGATATAATATTTTGTTATAAAATGTCATCTACTAGTGAGATAATGCTAATTGATATTAAAATAAAACTTTAAAAGTATATAAAATAGTAAATAGTAAATAAAAAATAATATATAAAAGCCATCATGTCTGAAGTGGTTACCGTAATGTACTGATGTTAAATATCGGATGAACAAAGAAGCTTTGGAACTAAACGTGTGAAGTCATATCCTGCTCAAAATATTTTTAAAAAGAGCTTAGAAAAGAGTCCCACGACTTTCTCCACTAACCGCTCCAATAAAAATTCTTTTACTACCTTTTCATTGTTGATTGAATAGTTAGGACTTCCAAAACCTTGTTTTACTTTTCTAATCTTCACAATTTTCTCAAAACAATTATAACAATATAATATTTTTACAACTTCGACACCATTAATTCCTTTTTTAAATCCTTATAAATTATTTTAATTCCTTTCGGATTTAAATTCCGTGCTCTTGGAAAATCGGATCTTTGATGCTAGAAGAAATACATCTGTCACTTTCAACTTAATAATTTGAAGTAAAGATTTTCCCATCTATAAAACTTGTGATGGCCAGAACAAGCAATAATGTGAAGTTGTGAGATCTGTAGAAATTCAAATTTAATTCGTTTTGTTAAATTTAAGCCTTTTCAAATTTAGTTAATAATTCAAACTATATTCTTGAAACCCTCACCCCCCAAGCAGACCTCATCAACTGCTTTAAGCATGATCTTATTTACTCAATCATTTCTTGCATTTACATATGATCCAAAACGTTCTATATTTTTTATCATTTGTGAGACAAATCACAGGTATCAATACAATGTGTAATTTTTTTTTTGTGTGAAGAACATATAAGATCTATAACAAAACGTTACCCAAACTGTTTCAAGTGATCATGAGTTATTCACTTCGATCAATTTAATCTCTCAACGATTCTATTAATCATTATTTGCTGGTTGGCATTTATCAACATCATTATTTAGTATTTATCACCTTTACATGATATTCCAGTAAGCAGTGCATCTTCAATAGATATTAAAGGATCTATATATCTTTTGTTGGTGAAAATGAGATCATTTTTTTGACAAAATATTATGAAGTATAATATTGATTATAGATTACTTCCATTCTCAAGCTGGAGTAAATACCATAATTTATTAAAATGTATACTGTGAAAGACATTTTTTATTAATATTTATAGTCTATAATATCTATGATCTTCAAGTACTTAATATTTGCTACTTCTAATCAGGATGATTTGATTAATATAGTATTTAAGTTTTACTATATAATATAAGGCGAATATTTTTACCTATAGCACAAAGTATATAAATCGGATATAGTGAATCATTTATGAGCAACCGCTTCGACATAATTAATTTTCCATTTATTGATTAAATGAGTCCATTCAGTGGTTTGTATTACACATTAACAATATTTTTATATATGAAAGAATAAAAAAATAATATTATTAAAAGCTGTTTTCGCAATTAAGAGAAGAGAGAAAAAACAAATGAATTTCTAAAGGCACTTAACAGAATTAATACAAGTAAATAGCTTCAATGGAGACATAGCAAAAGTAATAAATATTTATAGCAATCTATGCAGTCTATATAGAATATATTATAGATTTGTATATTAATGGAATGTATTTGCTGTTATATTCTTTAGAATACAACAACTCATTTAAACACGTACACAAGTAACAGTAAATGAACTTAATTGTAATAATGTACTTTAAGTACATAAATTGTATAAAATAATTTTTCTCTCAAGGTTAGAAACGGTCAAGG